CCAGAACGTCAGCCACCACCGACAGACCCCTCCCTCTCCCTTCCCCTCGCCCAGCCCTCTCCATCCTCCATGCCACCCATCCACCCGCTGCTGGCGGCCGTGGCTATGGCTGTAGTCTGCCTCGTGCTCGCTATGGCCAGCCCGCCACCCGCTGCAGGCGCCAGGCACTCGCTGGGGACTACTGATGCTGTGGAGTATGCTGCACAGGTGGAAGCTGCGGCGGCTGCGGCGGCTGCAGGGGCAGCGGCGGCAGCAGAGGCGTCCGGTGCGCGCACTACGTCATCGCTGGGGTCTGGAGACTGGCTTGCTGGTGCAGGGACAACTGGCGAGCCGGAACAAGTCCACGTTGCGCTCACCGGCTTCCCGCATGCCCTCCGCGTCATGTGGGTCACCTTTGGTGGCGCGGGCGCAGGCGCAGAGGCTGCGTGGGGCACGGCGCCGGGCGTCCTGGCTGCTACCGCCCGGGCCAATGCATCGACATACGACGTTGGCATTCTCGGCGGCTGGCACGGCACCATTCACACCGTAGACATGGTCTTTCCTTCCCACCTGCCCCCACGGACGACGGTCTACTACGCGGTCTCGGGCACCTGCCCCACCGCCTGCTGGTCGCCGGTCTTTTCAGTCGCGCTACCGGCGGCGATCGGAATGGAGACGGCAACCACGCTCGCACTGTGGGGTGACATGGGGACGGTCATTCCTGACGGCTGGCGTGTTGCCGCCGATGTGGCTGCCGCGGCCCGTCGCGCGGATGGGGCCTGGAACGCTATGCACATTGTCGGCGACTTGGCGTACGCCGGCATGGGCGCCCACGATGCTTGGCAACCGATCTGGGACATGTTTGGCCGCCAGATGCAAGACGCCGCAGTCCAGGTGCCGCTCATGGTTTCGGTCGGCAACCACGAGGAGTACTACGACTTTGAGGCCTACGTCAAGCGCTTCTCGGCTCCGGGAGCCGTCCTCACTCCTGGCGCCAACCGCCACTTCTGGTACTCGTACGAGGTCGGCAACATCCATGTCACCTCGATGTCGACTGAGCACCCATACCTACCGGGCACGCCGCAATACGCCTGGCTCGCCGCCGATCTCAAGGCTGTTGACCGCCGCCGCACCCCGTGGCTTGTCCTCGTCTCGCACCGTCCGTTTCTTGCCTCGGACGCCTTTGAGCACACCGCCCACATCCCCGGCGCACCGCTAGTTGACTCTGTCGGCCGACTTGCGGCTGCGGCCGGTGTTGATCTTGTTGTCTCGGGCCATTGTCACGTGTACGAGCGGACGCTGCCGACGCTCCCGTCGGGCGCCGTCACCTCGCACGGCGCCGCCAACGGGACCGTCTTCCACGCCCCGGGCGCGCCCATCTGGATCGTCGCCGGTACCGGCGGCGCCATCTACCCAGACTCGTGGGTCGTCCCCATTCCACCTTGGTCCGCCGTTCGCATCCACAAGCTCGGCGACGACATCGTGTACGGCTACGGCGTCGTCTCCACAAACGCCACTGCGCTCGAGTGGACCCTTCATCGCGCCGCCCACTCCAGCTACCCCGGCGGCCCCAGCCACATCCTCGACCGCTTCACACTCATCCGGTGATATTTCATAGTTTCCAACTGCAAACACTCTTCCGCCGTCAGACAGGCCGCGCGGCCCAGCCAGCTGCCATCGATCCGGGGCCAATCGGTCGTGCCGCTCCGCCACGACGGCCAGCCAGCCAAGCCAACTAGTCAGCCAGCCAGCCACCCCCCACCACGGGCGCACCCACTCCCACGGGCACCCCACTCCACCCTTCCCACCCCCCACCCCCCACCCCCCACCCCCCCACCCCCACGCCAAAACCGCCCCCTCCACCCCACCCCCCCCACCCAGGTACGCCCTGCCGCCTCCCGCTGCCCGTTGCCGGTGCCTGCCTGCGCCCCTTCCCCGAAGCCTCCAACGAATTTTTGCCGGTGGCAGACCACCCCTCTCACACCCGTCCACCGCCCCCTCCCCCTCCCCCCCACGCACAGCATGGCGGACCAGACACTGGGCATCTCGTTTGCGGCTGCAGAGCCCCTGGATGACTCGGACTCGGACGAAGGCGTCGTGGCGCATGTGGCTGACGAGGACGACTCGTCGTCGGACCCGCTGTCGTCCGACGACGACGCTACCGAGTCGGACGACGGCGACGGCGGTGATGGCCGCGACGGCGACGGGAGCTCAGCAGTGCTCGGCATCTCGTTCTCGTCGGCCGCTGGTGGCGACGGCGACGGCGACGACGACGGTGGCGACGACGACGACGACGACGGGCTGCCGGACTCGGACGCCGACGATTCGGACGAGGAGCTGTCGGACGATTCGTACGACGAGGACGGCCTGGTGCTTGTGCTCAAGTACGGGGCGCACGGGCTGACCGGGCGGCGCAAGACGATGGAGGACGCGCACTTTGCAGCGGTGCAGGCGTCGCAAAAACTAGAGACGGCCGAGACGCAGGGCGGCCCTGCGGTGGGCTTTTTCTCAGTCTTTGACGGCCACGGCGGCGACGCGTGCGCGCTGTATCTCTCACAGAACATGTTCCCCGCAGTGTTGGAGACGATGCCCGAGCTGGCGATCCGGACCAAGGAGGTTGACCCGGAGAGCCTCCCGTCGCAGGCCGAGGAGCTGCAGGCGATGGAGACCAGTCTCCGCGAAGCGTACGCGCTCGCCGAGTCGCGGTTCATCTCGCTTGCCGAGAGCAAAAACGTTGATTCAGGTGCGACAGCCGTCTCTGCCCTCATTCATGGCAACAAGCTCGTGGTTGCCAACGTTGGCGACTCTGAGGCTGTGCTCTCGCGTGATGGCATGCCTGTCAACCTGACAGTCATCCACAACCCGGCCAAGAACCCGGCCGAGGAGGAGCGAATTGTGGCTGCCGGCGGGCGGGTGTACAAGAAGCGGGTGGCGCTACCGTCGGTCCCGCCGCACCTGTGCAACATTGCAGTCTCGCGGGCGTTTGGCGATATCCTGTTCAAAAACACGCCTGACGGGACAGCGTCGGGGCTGACGGCGGATCCGGACGCAGCCACGTGGCTCATTGAGCCGCAGGATGAGTTTCTCATTTTGGCATGCGATGGGGTGTGGGACGTGATGACACACGAGGAGGCTGTCGACGAGGTGTCATCGAGCCTTGCGGCGTCGCAGTACGACCCGCAGGCTGCTGTTGAGTGCCTGGTCAAGGCGGCGTACGCGCGCGGCTCGACCGACAACATCACTGCGCTGGTGGTGCTCTTCGAGTTTGTGCCCGAGGAGGACCTTCTTGAGCTGCTGGAGGACGACCCGAGCCCGCCGCTGGCGCTGGATGTCAACGGCGAGCCCGCGAGTACCGAGTTTGAAGGCAAGGTGAGCGAGCTGCAGGCGCTCGGTAACGGGTTCTCACCGGTCGCGCCGGTCCACCAGACCGGGACTATCAAGCTTATGCCGCGGACGGCGGCGGGCCCGTCGACGCCGACCGCAGGCGGATCGGGCATTACCTTTGCGGCCACGGGAGCAGGCTCGGACTCTGACGACGGTGTCTCGCCGTTTGGCGTCGACTCGGACGAGTCGGGCTCTGACGACGAGTGGGACGAGAAGGCGCTGTGGCCGGGCAAGCTCGCGGCTTACACCGAAGAGACACCACTCAACGGTGCGCAGCGCAACGTGCCGGGCACCAAGCGCGACGAACTGTTTGCATGGAAGGCCGCGCCGCTCGAGGAGCAGACCGGCTCGCTTGAAGTCCAGCAGTACCTGCAGCAGCTGATCCGGAGCGACCCCGCAGACGTGGACAAGATTGTGGAGACGCCCGAGGGCGTGTCGTCGGTGGTGTGGCAGTACGAGCACCTGCGCCAGCTGACACTCGAGCTCTCGCATCTGGCAGTCATGCTGGAAGAGTGCGGGTGCTCGCCCGAGTCGTGCCCCAAGATGAAGGCGACTCAAGAGTGGATGTTCCTCTGCGCAGCCCACAAGGAGCCGCAGGAGTGCTCCGCCATCGACTACATGTGCCACACGCTCGAGGGCGCCGCCGCGCTGCTCAACTCGCAAAAGTACTTCCCCTCGCGCATCAACCTCAAGGAGGCCGACGCCAAGCCGAACCTCCAGTCGGTCGCCCGCCGCCTCTATCGTATCTGCGCCCACGCCTTCTTTGCCCATAACGACGCCTTTGAGGAGTTTGAAGCCGAGACGCACACTACCGAGCGCGCCGTCAAGCTCGCTGCCCGCTACAAGCTTGTTGGCCGCAAGATGCGCATCATCCCGCCTGTCGAGGAGTGGTAAAGTGCTTTTTCGTTTCCTGCCTGCAGCCGGTCGAGCCCTGCCTCGCTCGCAAGCCGTGTTGCTGGCTCCTGTTTACGGCAGTGTCTTGTTGAGAGTCAAAGAAAGTAATCGGGCACCTGCTTGGCCTGGCCCGACGGCACCTCACGGCGGTCCTCGGGCGCAGCGGAGAAGACGTTGAACTCGCGGTTGAGCGAGGCGTCGATCTCGCAGATGGACGCCACGTTGCCGCAGCGGTAGCAGTAGTTGGGCGCGGACCAGACGGTGGCCAGCAAGCCGTCAAAGTGAATCTGGTAGCCTTCCATGCACAGCTGGTGGGCGCGAAGGACAGTGGAGAGGCCGTTGACGTGCAGGAAACGCTCGACGGTGTCTTTGCCGAACAGATGGCCGGCGTTGCGCTGTGAGAGGTTGAATCCGTCACGGTCGGACGGATCCGACCACAGCAGGTCAGCAAAGACGCCCTCGGACGGCGGCTCGCGGAAGCGGTCGATGAGCTTGATCTGGTCAACCGAGAGCACCGCCGGCGAGAGCCCACCGTGGACACAGAAGATCTTGCCGGCAATGATGGCCGAGAGCGGGAGGTAGTCAAAGACCTCGCAAAAGTACGACCAAACGTCGGCCGACCCGTACTTTTGCACGACCTCTTTGTAGAACCCGTACACTTGTGTAATCTGCCGCGACTCGTGGTTGCCGCGCAGCAGCGTGATGCGGTCCGGCCACCGGAGTTTGAGGCACGTCAGCAGCGTGATCGTCTCCAGGTTAAAGTGCCCGCGGTCCACGTAGTCGCCCAGAAACAGGTATCGCGTATCGGGGCACTCGCCGCCGATCTGGAAGATCTCCAGCAGATCGTAGAACTGACTGCAGTATCCAGCCGCGATACCGTTACCGTGTTGTTGTGTCGCACCCCGGCTGTCTGTCAGTGGCGAGCCGTCTCTTCTACCCGCCCCCCCTCCCCCCCTCCCCTCCCCTCTGCGCCCTACCTACCAACCTTCTGCCCACCGCTATCCCACGACAATGCCCACGGCCACCGCCCCCCATCCCCCTCCCCCCCCCCCTCGCCCCTCCCTCCCTCCCCCTCCCCCCCCCCCCCCCCCCCCCCCACCCCTCCCCCACCCTCAACCTACCCATGGACGTCACCCACAACAGTCACCGGCGCGTCGACCTCGCACACGTTCGACTCGTCCAGAAGGACGTCAATGACCCGGGTGCAGATGTCCTTGATCGTTGCCTGCGACAGCAGCTCGCACCGCTTGAGCTTCTCCAGGCACTTGTCCACGTCGTCCATGCCTCCCCCCCGAACGCCTGACAGAGCCAAGTGTTGCTCGCTCCCCTCCTCCCTCATTTCAATCCACAGGCTCAGCAGTGCTGAGCATGTCTTGCGGCAAGACATCGTTTATCACTTTACATCCAGGGGCCGGCCGTCTCCAACTACTGACCCTGCTCCGAGACGGCAAGCGCAGAGCCGACAAGGCCGTTGGCGGTGTTGAACAGGTTGACCGGCGAGTTGCCGTCGGTGAGGAGGACAGACGAAAGGCCGAGCGAGCCCAGGAGCTTGGCCTGCATCTCGGGCCCGGCCTTGGCAATGTCCTTGATGACCTCGGGCGTGATGGCCTCGATCATGGCCTTGAACTTGCCGGTCTCGATCTCGGTCAGCTGGGCCTTCTTGTCGAGCTCGAGCTTGTTGAGTGCGGCGACGTGGGTGAGCTCGGCGGCGTAGTGGGCCTGCAGCCGCTTGAGCTCAAAGGCAGCCTCGACGTCTGCGGCGTCTGCACGGAGCTGGGCCTGCTCGACACTGGCCTCGCACTCGATGACGGTGGTGGTGGCCTGGGCCTTGGCCTCGGCCTTGGCCTTGCCCGTCGTCTTGATCGACTCGCACTCGGCCTGCAGCCGGAGAAGCTCGATCTTGGCAGCCTCGGAGAGGCACGAGTCGCGGATGCGGAGCTGCTCGAGCTCGCCAAGCGCGTCCTGCTCCTCTCGCTTGGCGACGTTGCGCGCCCGCGCTTCGAGCGCGTCGGTGGTGATCTCGATGGCGAGCGAGACCGACTTTTGCAGCGAGTCCCGCGTCCGCTGGTCCACGGGGTCAACGTTCTGGATGTCGACGTTGGTGATGACAAGGCCGTTGGCCGGAAAGACCCGCTCGTCGCAGACCGAGCCATTGTCGTCGAGGCCAAAGACGGCTGCGCGGATGATACGTGCCGAGTTGGCGTGGAACTCCTGGAACGGAATCGAAGCCACCGTGCCGCGGATTGACGAGCCGAGCGCCTTGCACGCGTCGCCCACAAAGTCGGCAACCGAGAAGATCTTGCGGGTCGAATCCTCCGTCGACCGGTCGACACGGAACTCCCAGTTGTACCCGAGCTGAAGCGAGAGGCGTGCATGGTCCGACGTCTCCACCACGATGACGTCGATCATAAAGTCCGGGCCAAGGTAGAGGAGCAGCGACTTGATGGCGTTCGACTGCTTCGGCCGCCCGCCCGAGAGCGAGAAGACCGTGAGGTGCTCATTCGGCTGGAGAAGCACCAGCTCTGGGCCAAACACCACCCGGGCATCCTTGGTCTTGTAGTCAAAGATCTGGACCGCTGCGTTGTGCGGGACACGGTAGGTGACAACCCGCCACTTTTCGCGCCGCTGCATGCCTGTCAGGCCAGCCGCCCGCGAGCCGGTCGACGCAAGGTTGAGGATCGTCGACTGCAGGCCCGGCGTGCGGCTTGCAGACGAGGAGAACAGCACGTTTGAGCCGGCAGCAAGCTCGACCGGGGTGTCGGTGAACGGCGTCTCACCGTTGATGAGCGCCTCCATGTCGGCAGGCAGCTCCTTCTCCCACAGCTCCTCGTCGGCCTGCAGCATGTACGACGCGCCGATCTCGGCGCGCACCTTGCCGGTCGTCATGTTGCGGACGTACACGCCCTCGTTCTTGTCGAGCGGAATGAGCCACCGCTGCGCCGCCACACTGCATTGCGGTGCTGGGTAGTAGTCGCGCGGCCCAAAGACCATCCACCGCTCACCCGGCTCCCGCGCCACGCCCTCGTCGTCCACGTACGCCTCGACACACCGCAGCACTAGCGCGTCCTGCTTCGACAGCAGGTGCGCCGTCTGCTTGCCGGCAAGCAGCCGCTCGCCGGGCTGCAGGAAGAACGTCTTGGGCCCTCGGACCATGGTCTTGGTTCCCAGCACGTTCTTGCCGGTCGACGCGTCCACAGGATCCACAATGACGCAGTAGTCGGTGTTTGAGAGCGAGATCGCCGTCACAGGCGTCACCAGCTGCTCAAAGACCCCGAGCATGTGCGTCGGCGCCTCGGCAAGCGTCACCAGCCACTCGTCGCCGACCTTGCGCTCGATGCCGTAGACATCGGTGAAGGCTTGCGTTGCGCGCAGGTGAAGGCCCGTCGTCTCGGTCAGGACATGCAGCTCCTGCACCTCGACAAGCTCCTCCGTTACCCGGCACAGGTATCGCCCCGGCTGCCGCACAATCCACTCGGAGCCAGCAAGCCGCGCCGTTCCATCCGGCTCGGTAAAGTCCTCCGTCGCCCGCAGCCGCAGCGCCTGGGTCTCGAGCACCACTACAGAGTGCACCTCCTCCAGCACCGTCACCACCCGCGACGGCAGATACGTCCGCGGGCCCTTGACCAGCCACTGCTCGCCCGCAGCACGCGTCACCCCACCCTCGTCCTTCACCTCGCGCTCCGCACGCACCCGCAGCGCAGCGCCGTCCTCAATCACGCGCAGCGGCGTCACGCCCAGCACAAGTGCCTCGCCCGGGTACAGCGGGAACGGGTCCGGAAAGTCGGCCGCAAGCCGCACCTCCTCGTCACCCCACACGCACACGTAAACCCCGTGCTCGTCAATCACAGGCTGCCCGGCGTCATCACGCTCCACAGGATTGGCCACCACGCAGTACGACGCCGGCGGCAGGACAATCATCGCCAGCGGGCCATCCACCACGGTCTCATGTGCCTTCTTGGTGAACGTCGCTGGGCCAACCACCAGCCGCTGCACATTCGTGTTGTTGTCCTCCACCGTCACATACGAATACGGCCGGATGCGAATGAGCGACACTACTCACGACCACCCACAACACAGTCTGCTTCGTGAGTTCATTGCCTTGCTCCCTCCTTCCCTCTCTGTCCCTTTCCCCCGTCCCTTTCCCCCTTCCCTTTCCCGCCCCCCCCCCCCCCCCCCTTTTGTTTTTCTGCGCCACCAATGGAAAGAAAAATCATCCGAGTGGAACAAGGAAGAAAGCCACCTTCCCCTCCCCGTCCTTCCCTCCACAGCACAGGCACCTCCCCACCCCCACCCCCCCCCAACGCCCACCCCCCTCTCCCCCTTCCCCTCCCCTTCCCTCCCCTCCCCCACTCACACCGTACTCTTGTTGCGGGTTGGTGAGACGGATGGTGCTCACCCCCACTCTCACCGCCTCACCCTCCTGCCTGCCCGTCTCCACTTCGGCCAGCCCCGATCGATCACCCGCCACCACCAGCCAGCCAGCCAGCCAGCCAACCGGAAGACGACCAAACCCCAAACCCACAGGTCTTTCCTTTTCCCTTGACACATTGCCTGGCGGGTGGACCACAAAGTCACCACCCCACCCCCCACCCCGCCTTCCCCCCCCTCCCTCCTCCCTCCCCCCCCCCCCTTCCCAAGTGGGCGCATCATGTCTGTTGCCATCCGCATCGAGCTGGATAAGCCGTCAGGATTTACCTCGGCGGTGAGGCCGTCCATGGTGTGGTGGTGGTGGACTGCTCAGCACGTGCCGACGCTACGGCCTTCAAGAGCCTCGAGCTGGCGGTCCACTCGGCGGAGCATGTCGAGTGGCAGCGCCAGGAGATGCAGAAGGTTGCCATCGATCCGTTTGGCCATGGCCACAACCACAGTCATCATCATTCCCACCGCAGCCACAGCCACGGCCACGGCCACCACTCCCACTCTCGCAGCGACAGTGGCTACGGCGGCGACCGGTTTGTCATCACCCACTCGGGCGGGCAGACCCAGATGGTGATTGAGGATGGAGCAGCTTCGCATGGCTCGTCACACTACGGATCGACCGTCTGCGAGCCGGGCTACGAGATGCGCCAGGTGACCGTGACTGTCAGCGACTCGGCGCCGGTCGTCACCCTCCGCATCGCACTCGATGCCAAGGGCGGCTCATTCGACTCACATGGCGTCTATCACTTTCCGTTTGCCTTTGCCCTTCCAGTCGATACCCAGGGCTCGCTGGAGGTGCCACAGGGCGGGACTGGGACGCCCATCACCGGCTCGGTCCGCTACTGGCTCAAGGCCATGCTCACCCGCAAGGGTCTCAAGTTTAACGTAGGCTCGCCACAGCGCGACTTTGTTGTCGCACCGCTCTTCACCTCGGTTGTTGCCCGGCCCAAGGCGTTGCCTCGCAGCCGGTTGCCGGCGGTGGCGCCTACACTGCCACCCTCTCGCTTGATCGCAATGCTGCTGTCCCGGGCGAGACCGTTATGGCTCATCTCCACGTCGCCAACAACTCGCCCATGCCCATCTCCTCGGTCACCTTTCAGATTGTCCAGACCATCTCGGGAACACGCCGCTCGCCGCCCGAGTCGGGCCAAAAGTCGCTGGTCATTTTCACCTCGTCGCGTCCAGGTGCACAGCCGTACACTCCCCTCACCATCGAGATCGGCATCCCGCTGCCGCCGGCATTGTGGGCGACCGTCACCGGCCCGCTCCTCCGCAACGAATACGCCGTTGTCGCTGTCATCCATCCGGCGTCTGGGCCTGACGTCCATGCCGGTGTCGGCCTCTCGGTTCTCGCTCCGAACGCGCTTGACGGCGGCGCGCTTAAGGCTACCCCTTTGGCACTCCGCTCCGCCTCATCGCCGCCAAGGCACCGCCGTCAGTTGTCCTCGCTCCGCCACCGGGCGTCGACCCGCTGCCGCTCGACGGCACCGTCCTGCCAGAACGCAAAGTCGGCCTCAAGTCGTGGCACATGTACTTTATCGACGTTCCCGCCCTCACTCACGAGGCCCGCCTCGAAATCGTTCTTCGTGGAACGTCCAAGGCCACGCTGGCCCTTCGCCTTCGCAAAGCCTCGCAACCCTCTCATTTGACCTCGTACGACTTTGCCGGCACCAAGGCCGGCAAGCACGTCTACTCGATCGCCATCAACAAGAACAACGGCGTGCCGCTCCAGCAGGGCCGCTGGTTTGTTGGCGTCTGGGGTACAAACGTCTTCCCACCCTCCTCCAAATATGTTCTCTCCGCCACACTCACTGGTGCCGCTCCGCCGCCGCCGCCTGCTGCGCTTCCGGAGCGAAGGTCATCGCTAGAGTTGGAGTCTGGCGGCGCATCGTCGTCGGCTGCGCCGTCCACCTCACCGGTCGTTGCCGACGAAACGCCGCCCCTCCCGCCGTTATCCGGGAATCCGAGAAGTCTGCTACCGCCTCAGCTTCAGCACCGCCGCCGCCGTCGTTTCACGATCCCAACTATGCCTCACTCGCGTCGGTGGCTTTGGCGGGATCTGCGTACGCTGCGCCGCCTCCAGAGCCCGGAGCAGGCTCGGCAAGTAGTGTCGAGTCGTCGGCGGCCGATGGTGCCGGAGTTGCCGACGGCGCCGACGACAACAGCTCGTACAGCATTGCGGCCAGCGAGCTGCAGCGCGGCGAGTTGGTCGGATCAGGCGCGTTTGGAGTGGTCCATCGCGGTACCTGGCGCGGCGGCGACGTGGCCATCAAGACCATCAAGGTCGATTCGTTGGCTTCCGACGCCGTGGCAGAGTTCAAGGCCGAGGCCAAGCTCATGCGCCTCCTCCCACCACACCCCAATGTTGTCCAGTTTCTCGGGGTGTGCAAGGCCGGCGAGAACGAGCTCTGCATCGTCTCTTCGTTTGTGCCTGGCGGCACCCTCCTCGCTCTCCTCCATCCAACCTCGGGCTTTGTGTGGAACGTCGAGAAGAAGCTTGGCGTGGCAGTCGGCATTGCCGCCGGCCTCCTGCATCTCTCAGCCGAGTCGATTGTCCACCGCGATCTTGCCGCCCGCAACATCCTTGTCTCGGTCGGCGGCCATGGCCCGGCAGCCACAGTCACGCCACTCCTCACCGACTTTGGCATGAGCCGCGACGCGTCAGGCGCCGGCGACAACTACACCGCGTCCGTTGTCGGCCCGGTCAAGTGGATGGCGGTCGAGGCCATCACACATCGCAAGTACTCGGCCAAGTCGGACGTCTGGTCGTTCGGCGTGCTTCTCTTTGAGATCTTCACCCAAACTGAGCCGTACGCCGGCCTCACTCCGCTGCAGGTTGCAGCCGGTGTCTCCAGTGGCTCACTCACCCTCGACCTCGATGGCCACGCAGCTGACATCCCTCCGCCCGTCGTTGATCTCATTCAAGCCTGTATGGCCCACGAGCCCGAAGACCGACCCTCAGTTCGTGACCTGTTCCGCACCGTCTCGCACCTCCGCACTCAACTCAGCCCAACGCCCAGGCCTATCAGCTATGCCACTGTCAACCCGTTTGCCCCATCGTCGTCGGCGTCGTCGTCCCCGGCCGCAACCCCGACACAGACCGCAACCTCAGGCCCGGCCTTTGCCTACTCGGAGAATCTGGGTGGATAATAATGCCATTCAGGAGGTTAGTGCGATGCCAGCCGATGCCAGCAGCAACCAGAGGGCGACTGGCGTCGTAGTTTCCCCCGGAAAGGCACCTGACGCAAACCCGGCGTGAGGAGCGGTGGCCGCGATGAGCGGCGGCGGTCAGAGATAAACAAGACAACACGATGAGAGTGGCAGTTGGGGATCGTTTGTGTGGAGGAGCGAGAGGCAAAGGTTGATTGGATTAGCCGGTAAACGCGAGAGCAATGTTGACGCCAGAGAGGACGCCAGCGTTGAGGAGGAAGCTCATCTGGATGCCACCGTTCTCCTTCTCGTACGGCTCGAGCTCGTCGGGCCCATACATCATCGCCAGCGTGCCACAGTAGCCGTTGGAGAGGGCAAAGAAGGCCATGAAAAGAAACGGGTAGCCGGCCCAGCTGGTAAAGTACGGCTCGGTAAAGGTGCCGGCAGCGAGGAGGAAGAGCGGGACAAAGGCGAGGCGGCAGAGGATGGGGATGAGCAGGGTCCGTGGCGAGAAGAGGCGGATGAAGCGCGGCGAAGTGCGGCCGATATAGTCAAAGAGCATAAACTCGGAAGTGAGGAGGACCTGGTACCAACCCGAACTGAGAAAGTTGGGGTCCTTGGGCTTGATCTGCGAGGTGACGCCCGGGAACATGGAGAGGGTGACGACAAAGACAATGTAAACGCCGAGTCCCTCCTTCCAGAGCTTGGAGAAGACTTCGACGACGGACGGGTCTGTGCGGCAGACGATGACACCGTCCGAGTAGACGTCTAGCTGCGGGCGAGGGCTCAGTGCCTGAGAGTCGGCGGTAGTGACGTCTGTGGCATCCAGCGCAGGCGGCTGCGACTGGGCCACGATGTGGTACTTGACAAACGGGTGGCGGAGCATGGCAAAGTACAGGGTGATGCAGACAGCCAGGACAAGACCGGCGAGTGAAAAATAGATAAACGTCGACTCGCGCAGGCCCTTCTCGGTGTTGGGCAGCGAGGCCTTGGTGACGATACGGAGGGCAGCGGCGACGATTCCGGAGAGGCCGATGCCCGACATGGCGGCGGTGATGTACGACGAGGGGAAGAGCGAGGCAAATCCCAAGACGGTGCCAAAGACCACTCCGGTGCAGACACCCGTGATAAAGACAGCGAAGAGAGTGAGCCAGAGCTCGACGTCGTAGGAGAGGCCGAGCAGCGAGAGGCAGGGTGTGACGACGAGCATGACTAGCGAGATGGAGTACGTGGCGGCGATACGAGTCGAGACCGACCATGAGGCGGCGTAACGGACCGAGACAAACAGCATGATGAGCGAGGGATAGTTGAAGGCGCACGAGATGCGGAACTCGATGTTGTTGCCGAATCGCTCCGAGAAGTAGTCAAAGGCCGAGATGAACGAGTTCCAGGCCATCAGCACGCCCGTACCCAGAATGACCATCGCCAGCCACACCAGATGGTACTACCCTCCTCCATCCGTCCGCCCGTCCGTTCCATCCGTCCGTCATCCATCCCTCACCAGCCCATGAGTCCCATCCCTCCCCTCCCCTGACCCCCTTCCCCAGGTCACATGGCCGTCACTGCGGGCGTGGATGCTACGTCGCCGCTTCCCCTCCCCCTTCCCCCTCCCCTCCCCTCCCCTCCCCTCCCCTCCATCTCCCGCATCCCCTTACCTTGTCACGTGGCGCCTTGCGCAAAAGGGGCTGGCCAGCCTTTCCGTCCTCCTCGCCATGGAGGCGCTCATACGACTTGCCCATGTGGCCGTGGCAACGGAGAGGTGGGGCAAAGGGAGGTACGGCTGGTGATGGCACCGCTTTCGCCAGAGCCATTGCCGATGGACGACCAGCCGGTGAAAGGCGGCCAGTGGCAGGGGAGGGGGAGGGGAAGGGGGGGGGGGAGGAAGGCAGTTGCTGTGTGATGGATGATGAATGGTATGATCGACGGGGAGAGTGGCATCATACAGATGCTGTCGATGTCGATGATCGTCTCTGGGGACTCATCGCACCATGCACACCCCCGGGATGGAATAATCATCGGTGGGGGTGCTGGACATGTGATGATCGTTCCATGTGCAGGCTCTGGGACGTGTGTTGATCGACCACCGGGGGAGGGTGATGGCTGTGGTTGAGCCGCGTGTGGCGGGAAGGCCGTGCACTCTCGTCGCCGGCGGGGCGGGCCTTGGCCGGGTGCCATTGGGCCAGCCACCTGACTCGGACTCGGCGGTAGCAGGGCGGGCCTGGGCGGGGCGGGCATGGACGAGCTTGATTCGAGTGCCACCGACAATGACGAGGTGAGGCTGCTGGCCGGGGACTGGGGACTGCTAGACGGTGACTCGAGTAGTGGCGGTGTGCATGGCGAGGCCGACGTGGCGAGGAAGCCGCCGCCGCCTCTGGACTCGCCGCCGCCTGCTGCCCAACCATCGCCTGATGCCCGGCCGCCACCACCTCCGGACTCACCGCCGCCTGATGCCCAATCATCGCCTGATGCCCGGCCGCCACCACCTCCGGACTCGCCGCCACCTGCTGTCCAACCATCGCCGCCTCCGGACTCACCGCCGCCTAATGCCCGGCCGCCACCTCCTCCGGACTCGCCGCCGCCTGATGCCCAATCATCGCCTGATGCCCGGCCGCCACCTCCTCCGGACTCGCCGCCACCTGCTGTCCAACCATCGCCGCCTCCGAACTCACCGCCGCCTAATGCCCGGCCGCCACCTCCTCCGGACTCGCCGCCGCCTGATGCCCAATCATCGCCTGATGCCCGGCCGCCACCTCCTCCGGACTCACCGCCGCCTGCTGTCCAACCATCGCCGCCTCCGGACTCACCGCCGCCTGATGCCCGGCCGCCACCTCCTCCGGACTCGCCGCCGCCTGTTGCCCAATCATCGTCGCCTCCGGACTCGCCGCCGCCTGATGCCCAATCATCGCCTGATGCCCGGCCGCCACCTCCTCCGGACTCGCCGCCACCTGCTGTCCAACCATCGCCGCCTCCGAACTCGCCGCCGTCTGATGCCCGGCCGCCACCTCCTCCGGACTCGCCGCCACCTGCTGTCCAACCATCGCCGCCTCCGGACTCACCGCCGCCTAATGCCCGGCCGCCACCTCCTCCGGACTCGCCGCCGCCTGATGCCCAATCATCGCCTGATGCCCGGCCGCCACCTCCTCCGGACTCGCCGCCACCTGCTGTCCAACCATCGCCGCCTCCGAACTCGCCGCCGTCTGATGCCCGGCCGCCACCACCTTCGGACTCGCCGCCGCCTGCTGCCCAACCATCGCCTGATGCCCGGTCGCCACCTCCTCCGGACTCACCGCCGCCTGCTGTCCAACCATCGCCGCCTCCGGACTCACCGCCGCCTGATGCCCGGCCGCCACCTCCTCCGGACTCGCCGCCGCCTGTTGCCCAATCATCGTCGCCTCCGGACTCGCCGCCGCCTGATGCCCAATCATCGCCTGATGCCCGGCCGCCACCTCCTCCGGACTCGCCGCCACCTGCTGTCCAACCATCGCCGCCTCCGAACTCGCCGCCGTCTGATGCCCGGCCGCCACCACCTCCGGACTCGCCGCCGCCTGCTGAACTCACCGCCGCCTGATGCCCGGCCGCCACCTCCTCCGGACTCGCCGCCACCTGCTGTCCAACCATCGCCGCCTCCGAACTCACCGCCGCCTGTTGAACAAGCATCGCCGCCTCCGAACTCGCCGCCGCCTGATGCCCGGCCGCCACCACCTCCGGACTCGCCGCCGCCTGTTGCCCAACCATCGCCTGATGCCCGGCCGATACCACCTCCGGACTCACCGCCGCCTGTTGCCCAATCATCGCCTGATGCCCGGCTGCCAATGCCCGGCTGCCACCTCCTCCGGACTCGCCGCCGCCTGCTGCCGCTGCCCGCCTGTACAAAATTGTGGCTGAAGAGGTCACCCAAGAACTCGCTGACGCCACCATTGACGCTGTCACTACCGAATTGTCCCACAACATCACCCGCGATGTGCTGCTCGTCGCTGACGCCTCTTCAGTCGTCGAAGATCTTGTCACCGACGCTGCCGCCGCTGTGGCTGCCGCCGTCCATTCTTCGGCCGTCAACGAGGCCAACGCGGCCGCTGAGATTGTGGACAATGTGATTACAGATGGAGTCGCTGTATTGCTCTCCATGCTTGCTGCAGAAGCTGTATCTGAACACGCTGCCGCTCTGGACGCCGCTCTGGACACCGTTATTGCTGACCTTGCTGCAGACGTCATCGATCATGATAGTTCACTCGTCGCCGCCGCTGCCCTTGACCACGCTCGCGATGTCGACGCCGCCAGCCATGGACTCGCTGATGAGATCTTTGATGCTGCGGTGACGACTGCACTTCTTGCCAGCGCTGAGCACGCGCTGGACGTTGATCTTGCCGGGCGCGAGGTTGTTGACGAGCTCGTCGATGGCGTCTGTGCCATTGTCGCTGACGCCGCCCTGCACCACGAGCGCCTTATCGAGGCCGCATTCGCCGAGCTCGTGGAGCAGCTTACTGATGATCTCGGCCTTGAGGCGGGAATGGAGGCCTGGGATGAGCTAGTCTTTGAAGACGCCGTTGACTGCTGTGTATCGGAGCTCACGGATGACTTTTCGGCCTTCCTCGCCTTTGACACCTACATCATGCAGGAGGCCATTGAGGCCGGGACCCAGGAGTGCTATGCCGAGTATGTGGGCGAGGTCACTGCCTTCTGTGCAGCTGACATTCTGCTTTACGAGCGCGCTCTTCATGCCGCGCTGGTTGAAGAGCTGCAGCTGTGGACCGACGATCTTGCGCTCGAGGTGGCGTCGGACGTTGTCACCGACGCACTCATTGTGGCCATGCCGCTGATGGAGCCACAGCTTCCGCGGACCACGCACTATACCCCAGCTATCCAGGCTCAGCTGGCGGCATTTGCCGAGTGGACCGGCGCCGTCCGCGCCCTTCTCCCCAAGATCGATGCTGGTCTCGACGCCGAGCTCGCGGTTGCTGCCGCCTGGCCACCACCGCCAGAGCTACACCTCGCGCACGATGGCATTGCCCTCGTTGGTCCTGCGCCCGACGAGCCTGGCGACCTCGCGCTGGTTGTGCTCACCGAGCCCGAGCCCGCCACGCTCGCCGCCGCCGCGCCTCTTGCGCTCGCCTGCATCCCGCGACTTGCCCGCTCAGGCGTTGTCCCTCCACGCTGCTCCATCGTTGCGCACGTTTCTATCTCTGCTGCATCTGCTGCGCTTCACTACGCGCTGCAGCCGTCGGTCCGCGCCGCCTGCGCCGCCCTCTCCGACGCACTCGAGCACGAGCCGTACGATGTTGCTCGCGCTGCCGACGCCCTCGAACTGCCACAGCTCTACGTTTTGGCTATGGCCTTTACGTACAACACCCTTGACTCACTGGCGTCGATGCTCGACGAGCTCGGTACCTCGTTTATGATGCGCCTCTCGCCGCGAGCATGGCGCAAAGTCGACCGCGCGCTTGCGGGCAAGCCTCGGGACACGCCTTCGCTGCCGGCGCAAAAGACAGTCATGGACCTGCTCTGGTTCCTTCGCACGACTGCGTTGGTGCCAATCCGCCTCAACTACCAGTCTGCAGCCTCGCGCTGGCGCATCGAGTACGCACGCGCGGCCGTGGCAGCGCCTGGTGCATCGGCTCCGCTGTAACACCTCGGCGTCAGAGCTCGTCGCCGGGCGCAAAGGAGTTGTGTCCGTCCGACGAGCACGACGAGCACGAGCCGGCTCCCCGCCGCCCACCAGGCTCCAGCACCGCCAGTGCGTCGGGCGTAAACAGATCGTCGCCGAGCATGTGGTGGTACCGGCTGGAGCCGCGCCTGTGGTACCAGTACCCGCCACCAGCAACGCACCCAATCACGCCGCACACCAGCAGCAGGATGATAGCCACCGTGCCGGCATCTGTCGGCCCGGCCGCAGGCGCCGGGCTCGGCGACGAGGCTGTCTCCCGCCCGCATGCCGCGTCCCAATCGTCGTAGAATGAATCACGAGTAGCGTCGAGGAACGCGTCCAGCGGTACGATGCACGCGTCGCTCCGGGTGTCCAGCGCCACGCTCGCGGCGCTGACGCAGATGCCGCCGGAAAAGACCAGCGGGGCGTCATTGTAAAACGCCGAGACGTACGCCGCCCCAGTATCGGTTATGTGCAGCTCAAAGACGACTGACGAGGCGTACGGCGGAATGCCACCGGCTTCGGTGACTGGAAGCGCTGCCAGGAGCGACGCCAGCGTTGTGTCGTGGGCAGAGAGCAGGTAGAACTTGCGGAGGTCGGCGGGCAGCTCGCCAGGGCCGATCGACGGCGATGGCGAGGCTGTAAAGCCCTCGGAAGCAGCGGCCGGCGGTGGCGGCGGCGGCGCCACGTAGGCCTGGAACAAGTCGCGGAGAGTGGCCACCATGTTGCCACCAGCCAGCTTGCCGGCCTTGTCGTGCGAAAAGGTATGAGCCGTGACCCAGTCGGCCGTGGCAATGATGTCGTCGAGCATCGGGAGCGTGACCTTGCCGTTGAGCAGCGGCTTGCCGTGCGACCACGCACAGAAGAGTGGGTCGTAGATCAGGTACCACTTGCCGAGCGTCACCTCTTCGCCGGCGAGCTCAGCCAGCGTCTCGGCCAGCGTTGCCACGTCCGCAGCCTTGGCCACAAACTCTGGCGAGCTCTGGCGCGCCTTCTCCAGTGCGTCAAACTCGGGACAGTTGTTGTACCCGCGGAGCAGCGTGTCGTAGACCACCGGTCGCGAGTGGATCGGCACGTACTGCACCCGCTCCGGCGAGTCGGCCGGGCCGGTCCCGGCCGGGAAGAGCCCGGCTAGCAGCGCCTGCGCCGACTGGATGGTCCGATCGACAGCGGTGGCACGGGCGTAGACGTCAAAGACCGAGTACGTCTCCATGGCTAGCAGCGCCGAGTAGTTGGCCCTTAGCCGCTGGCCCAGCGCCACGTGCTGCGCCATGCCGCGCCCGGTCAGCTGACCGCGGCCCTGCGGCCACTCATTGTCATCCTCGGGCAGCGCATGGACCGGCGTCCGGTCGCCATGCCGGGTGAAGACCACCACCGCCTGCAGCGTACCAGGCCGAGCCCCTGCCGCCCGCTTGCCCACCCGTCCGCCCCAATGCGGTCCTCCAGCCTCGTCGGCCAGTCCGCCGTCCCACCAGCCGCCGACCTCCTCGTCGGCTCCCACCGCAGTCACCACCAACGCCACCACCACCACCGCCAGCACCAACACCACCACCACCCCAGCCACCCCATGTCCTGGACCATCCGTCCGTCTGCGGGCACTTGCCATTCCAGACCAGTAGCGAGAGGAGTCGTGAAGAAGAGTCCACCAGGCAGGAAGGTAGCCAGGGAGGAAGGTAGCCAGGCAGGTGGGTAGCCTGGCAGGTGGGTAGCCACACCAGGCCACCCCGGTCATCCTACGCCCATCCACCCCATCCACCCACCCCCCCCACCCCATCCACCTACATTCCATTCCATCCACCCACCCCCACGAGATGCC